AAACTTGTGATTGTGAAGGTGGGGATGTTAGAGCCCGCCACATCTTGGAAACAGGTGCCACCCTAAACGCTGATTGGAGGAGAGAAACAATTCCTCCCTTCACACCTAACCACACACAGCCACAATGACTGAGGTTTTACTCTTGAAGAATGTTATCTCATTTATACTCACCATACCTGCGAGAGATTAGCAGGCACACTGTCATTAAAGGGTGAAGAGATTTATTAGACCAAGCCTTCTTCCCCAGCCTTTGGCCTCCCAGATGCACAAGAGCAGGCGAGGATGCGAGGATGCGGAGGGCCAAAGCAAGCTGATACCACCGACCCGGTGCATTGCTGGAGTGGCTCTAGGGCCACCCTGCTGGAGTAACTTGTAGGCAGCTGGGCCTGAGTGCTGGTGGCTTGCTCCCTCTGCAAGCGAGGAGGGCTCGGAGCTTTAATTATAGCTTCTCTCCAGATCTGTCAGGGGCCCTAATTATGCTGTGTGTAGGCAGCTGCTGCTAGATTATTTCCCAAACACCTTTGAAGCTTTCAAAGTCAGAGCTTCCCATGGACCACTCAAAAGGGACAGCAGAATGGCCTGGTGAGAGCCATGGCCACAGAAGGCCCAAAGGCCCCTATGGAAAGATATAGAAAGGAAAACTCATCCCACTGCCCCCCATAGCAGTGTCTCCGTAGCCCTTCTCAGCCAGGAACACCAAATGACAGGGTGGCAGGAGGAAAGATACCACTGAAAGGAGCAACTGCAGCTCGGCCTCTTATGCACTGAGAGGCGGACAGAGAATATGGGAGTGGGAGCTTCCTGTGCTCTCAGAGCATGGTGCCTCCAGGCCTCACACAACAGCCAAGCCCACCAGGCCTGCAATACCAGAATTCAGACAGTACCCACTTGTGCACACGCCTGGCACCCCTTTTGGCCAGCCAGGCAATGAGCATGCACTGCTGAAGAAGGTCAGCTCTGATCCCCAAAGACATGTTCCTCTGCACAGCCAGATGCAGCTGAAACTCTTTACCCTGAAGGCAAGACAGAAAGGCCATTGGAGGATTTCCCTGTCTTACTGATGTCTGAGCTCTGTGGAAATCGAATCTCCACACCAGGGTACTTATTAAAGCCCTTTTTCCTAGAAAATTTTCACTTTCACCCTATGCGCTCAGCTGAAACTCCAACTTTGGATTAAGATCACCAGTATCATGTTGAGGGTCCCTGGAGCACCTGCCCTCATGCCCAGGGCTCCCCTGCGATGCTGGCAGTACCTCCTGTTGCCCAGACACAGGAAAGGCGCCTCCAGTTCATCTTCCCAGGGTTTAGCAGAAAACACTGCAACTTCCCAAATTCTCCTCTGGCCCATGGCATCTGAAACAGCTTCCTAAATCCCCTTTATGTTTTGTGAAGAGCTTGAGGGACAAGAAGGCTTAGAGGAACAGCTAACAGTTTATATAAATTCAGCAGGTTCTTGGTTTTCACCCAAGATAGGGAAGAGCCAAGGAGGAATTTTCTTGGCTCCTAGCACAATCTGGTCCTCAATCCTGGCCCAAGGGTAGCCCTGCCATATAACATTTCCCAGGACAGGTATTTCAGAAGGAAGCCCTGGGTTCCCACTTTCTTCCATCCTTAGACTCTGCAGAGAGACAGATTAATTCAAGAACATTCCATTCCATAAAAGACTGTTCACTTATGTATCAGGAAACTCCCCTTAAGCCACTTCCCTTCTGGGCAATCTTTGCTTTACTCTTCCCCTATCTCACTGGAAAACAAAGCCAGGCCATTCTTTACTTATAACCCTCCCATCCAGAAGTGAAGAATTGCTGCAGACAGTTTGTTGGTTTGTAGATTTTAGAATCACACTTAAATTCCTAACAAACTACTGTATACACCACATGGGTTATCTCACATTACTTATGATAAGTGAAGGAATTCAGACTCCAAAGGTGACATACTGTGATTCCGTTTATATGACACTCTATGCAAAGTAATACCAGGGGATCAGAAAGTAGTGTTGTCTGGAGACTGGAGGTTATCAGCAGGGGGCCTGAGGGAATTGTTTGGGATGAGCCATTGTGAAATATTGTAATTGTAATGGTGGCAACAGGATTCTCTGCTTTCAAAACTCATAGACCCACACACTAGAAGGGCAAGGTTTACTGCATATACATTGTACCTCAATAAACCTGACTTAAAAAAACATTAAACTACCATAACAATTATATTGGCTAATCCCTTTTGGAACAAGACAAAACATGAGTAACTATTAATTTGTGTAAACACCCGGCCCACCTTTGAAAGTGGGAATTGGTACGGTCCATAAAGTCAGGTGTGGCAAAGATGAGAATCAGGAGTCCTGCAGAAGGTGCCGCATTTCGAAGGGAGTGCAGACCATATGCATGATTCTTACTCATATTTACTGAGCTTTCCCTTCCTTTATTCTGCAGTGTCTGTGTTCATGCTTCCCAGGAGGCAGACAGGAGGCCGGGCAATGCAGAAGAGCAAAGCTGCTGCCTGTGAGGGGCACGCAGTCTAGTGCTCTTGGGGGAGAGGGGTGCTGCAGAGAAGTAAAGTATTGGTAACAAAATAGGGAAGCTTTGGCAAGGACATTGACCTATGTATGCTAGTCAGGGAGGGCAATGAGTCTGAGGACATGCATCCTGAAATGTGTGCATGCAGATGCCCAAAGAAGAAAGAGGCATTTTGTAAAACTGTCAGATGTGCATTCTTTTAGACCTTAGAGACCAAGGATGGGGTGTGCTGAGGATAGAAAAAAGCCAACTCCCTCCTGCTATGTGCTCCCAACATAGATCACTTACTTCTGTGACCCCAAAGGTATTAGGAGGAAGCAAGCAAGCAACTCCACAGGAGCCACCAGCTGGGCATCCTCCCATCCCACTTAATTCTAACCTGTCCATCTGGAGATAGCATCAGATCCCATCAGGCTGTCCCCATGTCAGACACCCGTAGAAAATCTAGGTCTCTGGAGCTTCTGACCAACTACCTGTCAATTGAGGTTCTCATGACCTCTTCCCTGGGTTTGATTAATTCGCTACAGTGACTCACAGAACTCAAGGGATCACACTTACAAGATTATTATAAAAGACATTACAAAGAACACAGATGAAGAGGAGATGCACAGTGTGAGGTATGGGGAAGGGGAACAGAGCTTCCACACCCCAATGGGCGCACCACCCTGTGGGAACCCGCATGGATTTTGCTATCTAGAAACTCTGAACTCTTTCTTTTTGGTTTTTGTGGAGTCTTTATTGCACAGCCATGACTTAAGCATGGACAGTCATGTAGAAAGGGGCCTGGGCAAAGGGGGTCTGATCCAGTGCTGACGTCTGGGAAGGAAAACCCAGCAAGGGTGACTCTTTTTGGCCTCTCTGTGCAGCTTTCCTCCCTCCTGAAGGTGGGGCTGGAGCCCTGTGAAATGAAGAGGGTCTTATAACCTACTATCCAACAAGTTAGCTCAGAGAAAATCTTTAGGCCTCCAAGATAGAAAACTGGAGGAAGATTAGAGTTTCTGTAACCCACTTTGGGAAAGAGAAATTTCTGTGGTCTGCTTTGGGAAGGAGTTATGAGCCAGGAATCCTGGATAAAAACCAAAAACTGTCACACTGGCACAACTGTCTTCCTCTGTTCTCCTTTCTTCCACCAGTCTGAGAACTCACTGTGAAGAAATACAGGCCCCAAAGTGAAGAGAGCTGCTGTCATAATTTGGGGATCTCACAATATTTTAGATGTTTAATCGTAAATCTTTGCTCAACTAATGATGAGATCTCACATTAATAAATCAAAAGCTCCTTGGCACTTGGGCTTCCTAATTTTTCATCTTTTTAAAACTGAGTCTGTGATACTTTTTGCACCAGTAAAAAGGAAAATTTGGATGCCAAACTGGGAGTTACAACAGCAAATAACAAGACCAACCCTAATACCTCTCCCTGGATCCCCTCATTCTGTTGATTGATTTATTACTGGGGACTGAAGCCAGGGCTTTCATGTTGAATTACACCCCTGGCCTTTTATTTGTTTATTTGTTTGTTTGTTTATGTTTGCTGGGTTCAAACTTGTGATCCTCCTGTCTCAGCCTCTCAGAGTCCTGGGATTGCAAGTGTGCACCACCATGCCCAATGATCCTTTCAGCCTTAACCATCTCCCTTAACCCCCAAAACGGGTCTGTCTTCTCCCTTCAGGGAGGCTGTTTCAGGGAATCCAAGAAGTCATTTCTGAGACTTCATTATTGGGCCAGCTTTCTGAATTATATAGAGAATATTGTTTTAAAATTGTCTGAGTATGTTTCCCTATTTGTGCAAAAACACCTAAATAATCACCATATGCAGTAGGGAGGGATTGCAAAGCCAGCCAGAACATCTGTTCCCAGTAAGACACCATATAGAACCCCAAGAACCCCTGGGCCAACAGAAACTGTGACACTCTCACTCGGGACTATTTCCATATGCCATTTACCTGTATCCATTATGAAGATGGCTTTTCCTGGTCTCAGAAGGCCCTGCTTTCTGGCTTTGTGGCAGCACTAATTTTAATTATCAGTACCCAAGAAAATGGCTTGATTTCAAATGTGTGGCTATTTCTGAGATTCAGCCGTTGGCTAAATGAAATTTCAATGCCTCATCATTTCTGTGTTTATGGTGGTAATTCATTTGAGCATGGCTCCTATATATCCGTCTTCTTACTAGATGTGGGGAAACTTGTTCTGCTTAGTAACATGAGCAGGAGTGGGAACTCATTCCTTCTAAAATACTGGGCTCCCAGAACCTTTTCTACAAAAGAGAACCCTACGATGTCATAAGATTCCACTAACAAACCAGGCCCAGCCACTTTGACTAGACGTCTCTTGACTAATGCTTCTCCCGGGTCAGGAGGAAAGGAGCGAGAATGAAAGGGATGATGAAGGAGGGCCCTGTTTCCATGGCAGGGGAAACTGAAGGAAGCAGGGGAGGGGAGGTACCTGCAGATCACTGACCAGTGGAACGGGGGATTTTCTCTTCCAGGGTTATCTTTCAGAGGGGCTGGTGACAAAGTGGTACCGCTCCCCACGACTGCTCCTGTCCCCCAACAACTATACGAAAGCTATCGACATGTGGGCAGCCGGCTGCATCCTGGCTGAGATGCTCACAGGGAGGATGCTCTTTGCTGGTGAGTTTCTGACCATCTCACTGCCTCTTCTTTGGGTGTCTTTGTATTAAAGGGAAGAACTGAGTACACAACACATGCTAATCCTAAAACACGGGACTCTATGGCTGGAATGACTTATTTGGGTCTTATGGCATTTCCTGGAGATAACTTAATGTAATTTCAGGCAAAAAATAAAGACTAAAATTAGCTCTTTGAGTGCAGAATTTTTTTAATCAAGTAATCATTTTGCCATGTGTTGAATGCTTATGTCCCACTAAAGTCATATGTGGAAATCTGAACACCCAATGTGGAAATACGAGGTGAGGCTTTGGGGCAATGACTTGGCCATCAGGGCAGTGACTGAGAACACAGAATTATATAGAGAAAAATTATTGAGAACAAGCTCTCATCAAAGGGCTTAGTGCCCTTATAAAATAGGCCCCTGAGAGTCCCCCACCCCCACCCCATCTTGTCCACCATGTGAGGCTGTACCGGGAGGCACCATCCATGAGGAACAAGCCCTTTTCCAGACATCAAATCTGCCAGTACCTTGATCTTGGACTTCTCAGACTCCAACAGAAATAAATGCTTGCTATCTACAAGCCACCCAGAGTAGGGTATCTTTTGTTAAAACAGCCTGGATGGACTAAGACACACTTACATTCAAACCCTGCAACCACTGAACACACCTACCTTATCTTTTCAACCTCTTCCTCCTTCTCCCTACACTGTCTTCTGTGCCCCACAGCTACAAGTGGCCCATCAGTTCCCTAATCCGTCATTTTTTGTTCATCTGGCACATAAACCCCTTTCTGTTTAGAAAACGCCTACTAAATCTTCAAAACCACGTTTGTGCCCAGTCTTCTGTGACTCACAATTTGGGAAGCCTTGGCCAGGCTGCTCCCATCACTTTAGTGCTGGCTGACTCGGTCTCCGTCAGACAAACCTGCTCCAGAGGCTTGGAAGATGAGGGGAATGGAGGGACCTCTCAGAGACCATCAGATCCAACCTCTTTCTTCATTTGACAAAGCCAAGCCCCAGAGACAGCAAGCAACCTGCCATAGTCACACATCGAGTTAGTGCAGAGTGAAAATGAGAGCCCATTTCCCCTGATTGCCATCCCAGTGTTGCCCCACTGCCCTATGTTACACCTCCACTGCCACCCCCACAACACTGTTGGTGCCACATTGGGGCTTCTACACACGCAGCCCCTCAGGCAGCACATTTAAGATCTGTCTCCCCAGGAGCTCATGAACTGGAGCAGATGCAGCTGATCCTGGAGACCATCCCTGTGATCCGTGAGGAGGACAAGGACGAGCTGCTCCGCGTCATGCCATCCTTCGTCAGCAGCAGCTGGGAGGTGAAGAGGCCACTGCGCAAGCTGCTCCCTGAAGTGAACAGTGAAGGTACCTGAGCCTGGCAGCCAGGCAGCATCCCAGGAGGCTGAGCTCTGGCTTGACCTTGCAGGGTGGAGGCAGGTGCAGGAGGGTTTCCCTCAAAAAGTATAGAGCACAGAACGTAGAAGTCAAGGCTCCCTCACAGTGGGCATTTGCCCTAGCTACAGCCCATTGTGTTAATGTTCAAAAAGCTTCAGGTTACCTGAGCGTGGTGGCACACACCTGTAATGCCAGCACTTTGGGAGACTGAGGCAGGAGTATCACAATTTTGAATCCATCCCAGACAACGTGGTGACTTAGTGAGACCCTATGTCAAAATGAACAGTGAAAAGGCTGGGATACAGCTCAGTGTGAAGGCCCTGCTTTCCATCCACAGTACTAGAAAAGAAAGTGTCAGATTTTGGAGCTTTTCTTATTTCAGATTTTTGGGTTAGGGATTCTCAGCTAGTAGACTATGGAAATATTAAAAAATCTGAAATCTGAAACACTCCTGGTCCCAAACATGATTGGATAAGGGATATTCAACCTATCCTTTCAAAATGTGGATTATTGGCTTCTGGAGCAGCCATGAGGCAACCCTCAGGGTAATCATTAATGGTCCTCCTTGTTCTACCCAGTTTTGCTTTCTTTTTTCTCATCTTTCTCACTCATCTTCTTCCCTCTATTCCTTCCTCCCCTCCCCCTTACTTTTTTTCCCCATGGAAGGGGTGACATGGTGCAGAGGACAGGAGCTTTCTCAGCTGCAGGGTCACACTCAGGTTCAGTTTCCAGTTCTACCAGTGACTGTAGGGTCTTGGGTGAGTTCCTTAACTTTTCTGAATCCAAGTTTCCTTAACTATAAAATGGATAGGTGTGTCAATTAATTAAAATAGAACTGGCAGCACTGTTCCCATAGGATAGTTGCCCCATAAATCTTAGGTGTTGGTATTATCAGTAGGTCTCATACCTGCCAGAGTTTTCCTAAGGAAATCCCTATATTAGGTAGGATATAGGTTCAGCCAATTTGAGAAATACAAATTTTCAGTGGCTTAAACAAAATGTACTTCTTATTTCAGGAAGCAAATGGAGAAGTTGATTTCTTGCTCACACAGTAATCCAAAGGTAGATGGTCCAGAGCCAACATGGTAGATATGCTCTACAAGGCTATCCAGGCAGCAGGCTCTTCTGTCATGTGCTGCCAGGTTAGGGGATTCCTCTCATCTCTCCAGAGAAAGGGGGAAAGCAGAGCAAGTCCGACTTTGAGGGAATGAGCCAAAATTTGGCTCATTTTCATTTACATCCAATTGGCTAGAATTTAGTCACATGACCTTAACTAACTGCAAAGCAGGCTGAGAAATGGATATTTATTACATTCCATTTTGTGTCCATTATTATGAAGGAAGGGAACATTTTTATTTGTTTTTAGTTTCTTTGCATTAGCATATGTTTGCAATACATAATGAATACATTCATTGAGGAGAATTGGTACATATGCATATTGCATCTTAATCATTTTTACTTGCTCTTCCCCTTTCCACTCTCCTGTCTTCCATCACACATCTCCCTTCATCTCCACCAACTCTGCTTCCCTGTTTCCTATCATCTATTTTTTTTATTTTGTGCTTTAAATTGTGTGTGTTTTGGATTTCTACTGTAAGGAAAGCCATGTTTCTCACCTTTCACCTTCTGTGTCTGACGGAAAGGAACATTTCTATATATGGCCAAATCTCTGCCATAGTCCTTCCCCATCAGGAAACCAAGGTCTTAAACTTGGAATGTCTTTGGCTATGACCCCCATTCAATCGATAAACTACCTTAGTTTTCCCATCAATGCAGGGGTAGATGGATGGTGACATTGGACTCACAACAAATTCAGTCTTCACCCATCCAAGTACACTTTGATTCCTAGGGCTCCACAGAAAGCCCACCATGTGCCAAGAGCTGTGTTCACCTCTCAGAAATTCTGGATCAGAGATGAGTTGCCCACATTATCCCTCCCCATGCAACTGCAGGCACAGCAGCCCCTTGGTGACTTGGTTCTGAGAGGAGTAAGCTCTGCTTTGGAGAAGTTAGAGTGGGTCCCTGATTAGAAGATAAAGCTCCTTGATGTTATCCATCAATATTTCTTAATCCACTGTGACTAGAAAACTGTTGGGAACAGAAATTGAAAGGCCATGACCCAGTTTAGACTCTAGATAGAGGATGGGGAAGCCATTAAAGATGAATATGAATATTAAGGAGTACAGTCTAGCGACGGTAGAGCATCTAAGGATTTAGGGAGAGCCACCAAACGCTGAGAAGGTCAGAGAAGCTGGCCTGGGGAACGTGCGGAGGGCTCCACTCAGTGAGAGGGTCACAAAGTTGCATGCAGCAAGTGAAGCTGAGAGATTAAAGAAGGCCGCGAGGCTGGAGGTCTCGAATGGCCTCATCCTGTAATGGACCAGATGTCCCCTTAAGTCAGGCTGGCTTCACTTCCCAGTGCCCAGCTTCAAATGTTCTCCTTCTGCCTCTCACCTTAAAACGTGACCCCCAGCTCAGCTGTGGCCTTGGGATGATGAGGCATCACTGAAATGAGCTGTCAGTGGGAGAAAGCACCACAAACCCTACGGGCCAGAGGAGCTAGCAGTGGGTCTCTGAAGACCACGCCCTCTGCTGCACATTCTAGGTCCCAAAGGCCAGAAAAGAGGCCCAAAGTCTGCCTTACTGGGGGCTGGGGATTTAGCTCAGCGGCAAAGCGCCTGCCTGGCAAGCGCAAGGTCGTGAGTTCGGTTCCCGGTACCGGAGAAAAACCAAAAAAAAAAAAAAAAAAAAAAAAGTCTGCCTTACTGTTCAAGAACTCAGTTTAGGTGACAGTGCTTCTCAGTAGCCAAAATGGCCATCACATGATAGGTGCGGAAGGGGGAGGCAGACACCCCCACCACACTGGGGGTGTCCAGTTTGATATATTTACACAAAGCAAAGTCTGATGAAGAAATCTAATATATGAAGCCAGGAGAGGAGGTGCTCTGGATGAAGCAGGGGAGAGGAGCTCAGGGTCCTGCCAACCTGCCCCTCAATCTCCAGCCATGACTCAGGAATCTTTCCAGAATACTTGGGGCTCTGTGGAGTCTGGTTTGGAACCTGTAAGTCCAGAGAAAGATGACAAGATTTTGCAGATGCCTTATTATATGAGAAATGCCTTAAAATCTGGGTGCAGTGGGTCAAAGGCCCAAAAAAGGAACAACTTGGCCAGGCCTGTTGTGCTGAGCCTTGCCCTGGAGAGCCTGATCCTTCCAGTCCTGGGGATTTGTGAGGTGAGTCTTCCTCCTGGCCTGCAGCCCAAGACCCAGCAACCCACTCTGAGCCTCAGGGAGCAATTGAAGCTACTGCTGCTCACCTAATCCTTCAGCTGGGGGATACTCAGCTGTGCTGCGGCCCCTTGGGATGCTGGTGACCTTCTGAGTCCATTGATTTCCTGAATCATTGATGACTTTTCCTGCAAAGAGATCCAGGGCTGGTGTGAGAGACAGGTTCACTGTGTAGGACAGGTCTGCGAAGGAGCCCTCAGAGGGCTTGGCGTCCCAGGCTCTGAGCTCAGCTCCATTTCCCCCCACCATGTAGGTTGTAAAGACAACCATGCAGGGAAGAAATACAAACCTCCAACCAGTCCTCGCCATGAAATAGCTCAGGCAGAAGTGCTCCTGCCCCACTCAGAGGAAAGGACAGCAGCACCAGCCCTGTTCGCTGCTGAACTCTATACCTCCATGGTGGTTGGTAAATAGCCTCGCACAAGGCTTCTGAGCATCCCTCCCCCGAACTTCCACAGCCCAGCACTTCCCTAGATCTTAACCACTCAAGGGCTCCTGCCTGGCACAAGGCACTTCAGCCTGGTTGCTCAGCATTTTGAATATCAATCAAGCCTGTGCCTCTGTCTCTAAGTCTTTCAGGGGCCACCTATGGTATAAAGAGCTGTGGCCTCAGACAGGAGCTGTGGCTGTGGGGTATTGCCTTCCCTCCTCTCCGCATTCCCCTTTCTCACCAACGCTTTCTCCTGCAGTTCCTCTACCCTCTCCTGGCAGCCCTCAACCCATGCAAGGGGTAGGTGAATGTGTCAGCAGCTTCCTGCCCCTCAGGTAGCCACCTGTAAGCTGTGTCCCACGCTGTCTCCAGGAAGATCCCAGTGGTACTGAGCCCCTGGAGCGGGGCCCCACCCTGGAGTTCCTGATCTTTCCACACCTGAGAATCTGTGAGGCAGATCCTCTTCCAGGAGTGACCTCATTACTAAACTTTGTGCTGACCTTTCTCTGCCCTGCCTGTGCTTGAGATAAAAATAGCTTTTAACAAAGGCAAAAGCACAAAGGCTGGGGAACGTCACCACACTCAGAGGTCTTGGTCTCAGCTTGGCATGGGTGACACGTGACCTTCATGCGCCTCTCTGTTCCTCACAGCCATTGACTTTCTGGAGAAGATCTTGACCTTTAACCCCATGGACCGCCTGACAGCTGAGATGGGGCTGCAGCATCCCTACATGAGTCCATACTCATGCCCTGAGGATGAGCCCACCTCGCAACACCCCTTCCGCATAGAGGACGAGATTGACGACATCGTGCTGATGGCCACCAACCAGAGCCAGCTCTCCAACTGGGACAGGTGCAGTCCAGGGCTGGAAGCTACATGCCCCTGTTCCTTTATTTCCATTTTGCCTCCAGTCCTGTGTAGCCTTCCCTTCGGCCTCCTAAGTTGTATAGCCTGTTGGCTGCTTCCCTATCCTAGCTTCTTACCTTTCTCCTGTCCCCAGACACTCCAAGCAAGTGACTCACATGTGCTGTGGGCTGGGTCAGGGCATTCTGTGTGGCACAGCCACTCCTAGGTCTCCCCAGCACCCTGAGCCTACTGAACACAGGTTTCACTACTCCCTTGTAGCGGACTGGGAACTTGCCTTTGAAAAACCAAATGCAACAGTGCAAGTCAAGAAAACTGCACAGTTTACCATTACCAAACACTCTCATTTTTCACATCAGTTGTACCTCCTAAGAATGCCAGTGAGAGAGGCTTCATTATTATTATTGCCTGTGAAAAAGCTTCAGCTCAGAGAAGTCAAGAGACTGGCATCATGTCACATAGCAATTGTCTATAGAGTCCTCCCTGAGCTATATCCATGTTGCATACTGCTAAGCAATTATAAAACTTTTCCTTGCTAAACTAGGTTTTGCCTCAGGATCATTGACAAGTGTCCCCAAGAAGCCACTACCAATGAGTCAGGGTTAGGTAGAAGATATATTTTAAAATCATTTCTGCCTGGGCACATAATAATCTCATAGATCTGTTCCTGTTCTGACGTTCTTAGATCAGGCAGCTCCACATTTGGGCATTGCCATCTGCTAATTCTGGGAGGCAGTGCCAGTCGCTGCTCAGTTTAGAAATAGCAGTGGAGGGCTCTGCAGTATGACTCTGAGGGGGCCTGACTGGGAGCCCCGCTGCCGTGGGGATGTGACAGCTAGTTATGTAACTGACAGATGAGCAATTTCTCCTTTTTAGTCATTTGACAGATGATGGGTTTCAGATTAAGGAGGGCCCAGGCAGCGTTACTATTTTTGGACAGGTTTGCTGGTTTGTTGTTGTAGATTGTTGTTTTCAAGTGTTGCCAGCAAATAGAGATTAATGCCACCCCAATGCTGCCCTGCCCCAAACTGTCTTCCTCACAGTGCCCCCGCCCTTGCACACCACAGAATCTGGGGGCACAAGCATTGGCTTAGCAAGGTTCACCCTATACTGATCCTGTTGTCGATGAGGATTGGTGCCAGCAAAAATTGTAGCGGGGTTGCTGTCCATCAACTGTGGCCAATGCTAAACCTCCTGACACACCTGCACGAAGGACAAAGATGACAAAGGCCATGACAGCCCCTTCCTACAGGCCTTGCTGCTATAGGCATTACTTCCCCTCTTGGCATGCAGATTTCCTCACCTGTAAAGCAGTGGTGGTGGACAGGCTGCTGGGAAGACTACAGATAATGCAAGCTCGGCACTGGGCCTCCATCAGACAAAGCTGGGGTCTTCATACACTCTTCCTCCTAGAAATCTTTGCAGTTTTGAGGTCACTTGAGACAGGAGGCAGTGCTGAGCCCAAGGGCAATTCCTACCCAAATGGCATCCCCAGGAGAAGGGCATTCTTCCCATGCCTCGCTAACCACAGTCAGTGGCCTGAAGCTGCCCAGCCTGCCCCTTTCTCACAGCCAGCCCTACATGGCTTAACTTGTGTCTCTGACTTGTATGCACACCAGGCCTCCTGCTCAGGGAGCAGCTGCCTCCTCTGTGCTTGCTCCCGTCCCACCCATCCTGACTCTGCACAGAGCACCTGGAACCAAGAGGAAGGGCCTAGCCAGACCTGACACCTACCCACCTGCCCAACTGCCCTTCATTTCCTCTTGGCTGACTTCGCTTTCCATGGCTGCAGGGCAGTCCACAGAGGGCAGACTTCCAAGGAGTTCTGACCTCTGCTGATGGTGTCTGTGACCTCTCTGTAGGCCCCACCTGCTCTATGTCAATGCACAGTGCTGCCCAGGCCAGAGCCACTGGGACAGGGGTTCTCTAATCCTCTGGGGAAGTTTTACAAACATACCAACCTACCCAGTCAGAATTGAGCTGGGGATGCAGCAAGGTGGGCCTTCTGATTCATTTTTAATCCCCCCATGTGATTCTAACCTGAGCCATGGGGGTCCTTGCTACTCAAAATTATGGTCCAAGGACCAACAACATCACCATCCTGTTAGAAATGCAGAATACCAGGCTCCTCCCTGGAATCAATTCTGTGCTTTAACAAGAATCCCAGGTGATGTGTATACACAGCCGTCGAACTTGAGAAGCATGACATGGATGCTTACCATTAGAAAGCTTCACAAAGACAGGGGCTTTTCTATTTTGTTGATAGCTGAATCTAGTACTACCTAGAACAGTGAGTGCACATTGTGTGGGCGCTCAAGTACTATTTGTAGGATCTGGAATGAATACAAAAGAATACAAGGGTTAAGCTGGACAGTCAGTCCCTCTAGTTGAGCCCTTCAAGATTCACTTTCACCTGTGCCATCATCTGGAGGACAGCGGCAGGAGGGACAGAAAAGGGGAAAGCAGGCTTGAGGGTGGCCGGCAGGGAACGTCCTACCATTGCTCGCTCGCACCCTTGCAGGTACCCAGTGAGTCTGTCATCAGACCTGGAGTGGCGACCCGACCGGTGCCAGGATGCCAGCGAGGTGCAGCGCGACCCACGCGCGGGCTCGGCGCCGCTGGCTGAGGATGTGCAGGTGGACCCGCGCAAGGACTCGCAGAGCAGCTCGGAGCGCTTCCTGGAGCAGTCGCACTCGTCCATGGAGCGCGCCTTCGAGGCCGACTACGGGCGCTCCTGCGACTACAAGGTGGGGTCACCGTCCTACCTGGACAAGCTGCTGTGGCGCGACAACAAGCCACACCACTATTCGGAGCCCAAGCTCATCTTAGATCTGTCGCATTGGAAGCAGGCGGCCGGCGCACCTTCCACAGCGGCGGTGGCAACAGATGCGGTGACACGCGAGGACGAGCCGGCCAGCCTTTTCCTGGAGATTGCGCAGTGGGTCAAGAGCACTCAGGGCGGACCCGAGAGCACCAGCCCGCCCCGTGATGGCCCCGAGCGCCGCCTGTCCCCCTCACCCTCTGACTGCCCTGCCCCTGTCGATGGTGGCGCAAGCCCCCAGTTCGACTTGGACGTGTTTATCTCGCGCGCCTTGAAACTCTGCACCAAGTCTGAGGATCTGCCAGACGATAAGCTGGGCGACCTCAATGGCGCTTGCATCACGGAACACCCTGGTGACCTCGTACAGACGGAGGCCTTCTCCAAAGAAAGGTGGTGAGGCCAGAGGGGGGGTCCATGGTGCCCAGCAGGAAGCCACCCCAGAAAGCCCTGCCTGGCCAAAGAGGGTCACCTCTCAGGCACCTCCACCACCCCTTCCGCCCCTCTCTGCTGCCTTGGGGTTAGCAGAACACAAGAAGGATCCGAGGAGCGAGAGGAATGTCCATTTCTTAAACTGCCTTAATTACCAGCCTTTAACCTCTGGGAGCAGGTTTGAATAGGAGCCTGGCTGGGAGCTAACCACTTTCCCAGCAAAGGGGAAGCCCTGTGCTTTATAAGTGGCAGGTCATGGAGAAAAAACCAGTCATAGAGGACAGTCTGCAGCCCCCGCCTGGGTGGTCAGGTGCAGAGGCAGCTTGCAAACACAACTGTGAAGCCATCTGGCCCACCAATCCCAACTGACAGCTGAGGAAAGGCACTTGGGCCCAGAGAAGCAAGGTGACTTGTTTAGAATCGACTTGTTCGGTCAGTGTCAGTGCCAGGGTGAGCCTTGAATCCCAGTTTCCTGGTCCCTGAAGCAGTGTCTGTCCCCAGTATCATGTCTTCCTCTGCTAGATCACTCTGACTTTTTTGCAGGGGTGAGTCCAGAAAGTTGGACCAAGATGTTTCTGCCCTGTCCATTACCATCTGATCCATCCATGTTCTTTAATTCAGACCAATGTTACTGCTGTTCTTCAATTGGAAACTGAAAGCAGTTTTTCCTAGTCACCAAGCATATGTTTACTGGCTCCCCAAATACTTAAATGTTCTCATCTGCCTCCTCCCCCCGTGCATTTGCCTCATCGCTGCATGGTCTGAAATCTTTGCTTCAGAGCAGAGCAGCAGGTTCCTGGGTAAAGCTGGCCATTCTCCCAGGCCTGTGCATACACCTCCGGCACACCCTATGCACTTTCCTGATGTGCCCAAAGACACAGTCCTCATTCCCCAGTTGATGTCGTACATGGTGAGCTTGAAGACAGCCTTTCCAGGAATCCCTCCACCCTAACCGCTTGAATTTGCCTGCCCCTGCCCACACACACAGAGCTCCTGTCCAAGCCCACCATGGCACAGGAAGTTCTCAGCACAAATTGCTCATTTGGAGGAAAACAGTGAGGTGCCTGCCATAGACCAAACATGTTAGGAGGAAAGGTTTCATGTGGGACTTGTCATCCCTCGTCCATACTGCCCTTGATTTTGATCATCCACTTAGCATCGGCTGAGAGCAGGCCCTAAAGAAAAGCACTGGTGAACTAGCAGCCTTGGGGCAAGGAACTCAGAAAGGTAGGAAAGGTGACAACCGAAGTTGCCCCTAATGGGAGCTTGGAGTACTCAGGCCCTCTGCAGAAGCACGGGTTGGGGTCACTCACAGCCCCATTGGTGGAACTCTGCCATTGGTGTCCATGTCTTTACTCTCCCCCAGCACCCCAAGATACCCACAGGAAGTCTAGCCAACCTATAGGGAGGGGATTCCCCCACTGTGGGGCTTGGGCTGCGTTCATGCTCACATCACAGCACCTTAAATTGAGTCAGGAAGTTATCATTTGTACACTGAAACCTGCAACATGTTAGAAACTTATATTTAAAAACAGAATTAGTCACACTGACCTGTTTTTAAATAGAAAATGTGTAAATATAAAGAGTTTAGACTTTGCTTTTTAAAAAAAAAAAAGAAATGTACACCAGTCCTCATGTGCCATTGTGTCCTCAGAGTGTGGCTTTACTTTTTGGGTAAAAGAACAAGCTGCTGACCTTGACCAGGAGTTCATATATAATTGTCATTACAGAGAAATTCTTATAACTACTCATGATTTTAAAAAAAAAAAATCTATTAAACATTATTAAACTTGATCAGGATGGGCCAAATAAAGTTTTATTGGAACATAGATTCATTTATGTATTCTTGCATTTGTTTAAGCCTTGTCTGTTCCTGTCTTTTAATTCACTGGAGCCAACCTGGCTTCTCTCTGTACCCATGAAGGCCAATGTTTTGAAGGACTGAAGATGGGAGGTAGGGAGGAGAATCTGGGAGAGAGGACTACACAAATAGAAAGAGAAGTTGACTTCGGAGTCACTTGGTGAGGCCTCGTGTCCATAACTACAGATGTCTAACCCCATTCTAGAGTCAGTGCCAATCCTTCTAACCAGCAGCGGTCCTTCTCTCTAGTCACAAAAGGTGCCAATATCATGAGATTTATCATGAGGTTTGGAGGAACCAACCTGAGCCTCATCCCACAGATGTCTGAGGTTCTACCAGTCTGAAGCTGACCCCTCTCTAATATCTATGTCCACATGGTAGCTCTAACTTCATTTGTTATTCAACAAATACAGGTGATTTAGAATCTTTGTTTCTGCTGATTTTGAGTTCCCTGAAAAACCTTTTGGTTAAAGAACTCACTACTATTGAAATGCATCTGAGCCAAGATGAACAGGCTGTTAAGCTATTTACCAGATTCTCTCCCAAGTGTCAGCTGATATCTTTATCCACTGTTGCAATTTCTAAAGGTTTAGTCACCCACAGTTAACCACGGTCCAAAAATACGAATTAAAAAATTCCAGAAATAAATGATTCATTAATTTTACATTTTACACCATCCTGGGTAGCATGATGAGATCTCACACAGTCCTACTTTATCCCCAGAAGTCCTAAAGTCTACCAAGAACATGGGCTCATCCCTTTTTTAAGTGTATCTACTCTGTATGTGACACTCACCTATAGGTCACTTAGTTGTCTTGGTTATCAGATCAACTGTTAGGTAATCTCAGTGCCTGTGTACAGAACTGGGACCTAGCCAGAGTTTCAGGCATCCATCAGGGGATCCAAGAAGGCATCCCCCTTGGATAAGAAGAGACCGTGCAACTATCTCCATGCCAGTACATTGAGTAAAGACAGAGGGCAAGAGCCAGAACCTGTTGAAGTTTTCTATTGAAGAAACTGTGAGGTCTAATTTGAGGCCTGGGTCACTAGAATATAGGAAGTAGAGTACGGAGCAGAGAGTTGAGAAGCCAAAGCAGCAAATAGCACCAAAGAGGAAAGAGAAGGAAAGAAGGCCCCCTGAAAGAAACATGTCACCATTATACCAAGCCACCACCGAGGTTAGGACTATAACTTCTCTTGAGATGGCCCAGGGACACTCTGTGTAGTTAATGTAGGAATCAGCAAATTAACCTCCATGCCAAAGACTTAGCAGAGCATAACTGCATCTGTTCATTCACGTATTGTCTGATCCTGTCTTTATTTAAAATTTTGAAACTTTATTCATCAAGGATTTTTTTCACTCACGTTTTTAAAATTAGAAATACATACTGCACTAAAAGACTGATCTTGTTACTGAGGGTTTTTTGCCACCCAGAAATTCTATGCCCAGTGTGAGTGCCTTACTCGCCTCCACCTTGATCTCGGCCCTGCTCTGTGGCTGCTCCCATCCCACAGCAGCTGAGTTGAGTGTCTGCAGTGGAGACCTTGTGTCCCACAGAGCCCGAAATATTTGATATTTGACCCTTTCCAGAAAAAGTTAGCTAAGTCATGGTGTAAGATGTCACAGGGTTTCCATATCTTTCTGAATAAGCACATGGCTTGCCTTTTCTTACCTTGCCATAGGTATTCCCATCTAGAAACTTCATATTTTCATGTGTGTGTGGTTATTTGCCATTATTTAAGGAAATGTGCTCATTTGTTGGTAGGAAGTTAGCCTGATAGCAGGCACCCTCGTCTTCAGGCTATGGGGCCATTATGTCAGAGGTCACTGCCATGATTAAAACCAGGCTTTTAGAAGGGATGATTAGAACAGGCAAAAGAAAGGCCCCACCGTGCCCTCAACTGAGCTAGTATGCTCCACTTGAAGAGGGCAGAAGTCTGATTTCCCCACCTGTATGGCTCTGTTTCTCTTCAAGACGTGAAAAGCTAAACTGAGAGAAGTTCAGCTTAGCTAATGACCTGTTCAGCTAAGAGTCCTATCTTTACTTACCATTCAACAAATATAAATGTGGACAACAGATGGAAATTTATGAGTTATCAACTCCCTCATTTTATAGATGAGTAAATTGAAGTCCAGAGCAGGATAGTAATTTACCTAAAGCACACAGTAAGTAACAGAGCTAGATTAATCTCTTCAGGATCAAACTCAGTTCATTCAGCCTGACTGGTGCACAAATGCTGGGGTTAAGCTTGGAGGAACAAGACCAACTCCAAGCATGGAAACAGAACAAAAGAGTGGAAGCCAGGCCACCAAAGACCATGTGCTCTATTTACTTGTTTGCTAGATATGAGCCCTAAGCTCTCAGGCTAACAAGAGAAATGGTATTCTGCTCCTCCAGACGGTTTCTGCCTAACTTGAGACTTGATCTATGTCGCAAGGGAAAAAAGGAGACTGTGACACTGGTTTAATTTGATTCCCTCAGAAGGAAACTCTGAGATAAGGATTCAAGTGCAGGAGATGGGAAGGGACTGTTTCAGGAAATACTCAAAGAGCAGCGGGGGAAGGGCTAGAAGTACATGTTTCTACCATGGTCAGCTGTAGCTGCATCCTGGCGGGGGACTCCAGGAGGCAGAGTGAGACACATACCTCAGAGTCTCCTCACTCCTACTTGGTTGATGACTGCTCTGGGATATTACTTCCTCAGCACCTCTGGCCTGTACTGCTACAGAACAGGCTCCAGTGGCTAGAAAATGCCCACAGGACCAGGTATAGGAAGTTGGCTGGCCTGCACAAACAGATGAGTGCTAAATGTATTGACAACAATAACCTTTAGATATCAAGAGTGGGATTCAACATAAAGCGGATCTAGGAGCCAGGGAGAGGACACCTTCTTAGCGCTGGCAACACAGTCCCTGCCTTGGCTTGCGTTCTCTCAAACTTCACTCGTCCTTCTTTCCTCCCTGCAAGAATAGAAACTGACCACCAGGCAGGAAGCTGCCAGTAAAGCTTCGGTAGGGCTGCCGGTAGGACTGCAAGTGGCAGAGGTGCTCCCCTAAGCAACCCATGGCTTTTCTTTGCACATCTAGACACGCGAAGTCTACTGTCAGTGTCCTGCTGATAGTCACAGTCATCCAACTCTGGATCAGCAACCTCAGCCACTTTTGAGAAGTGTTGGCGCCAAACCAATGGGATCTTTGTATCAATTTAACTGATGGGCCTGTAGCTTAAGTAAAAGAGTTGGTGTTCTTGGTGGACTTTAGGACCATTTTGATCCTTGAGATAAGTTTTGCTTCATTAAATTACATGAAGAACTTCACTAAGACCCCTAAAAGCCCTTTCAGGTTTGGACACTGAAGCTCTTGGAGTTCAAATTATTTGGTTTCTACGGTCATCTCTTTCTCACTGTGCACCTTCTTGACTAATTGGTATATGAACCTTCCTAGCCTTGGTGCCTTTAGCACCCAGTAGCATACATGAGGATGATAACACACCAGGGTTCTAAGTGCAACCTGTGGACAGGAAACCCCAATGCAACCCACCAGGCTTTCCATCTGTGGCATAAATCTCAGCAGCACATTGCTCAGCCGGCAACTCAGCTAAACTCTAGGCCATAATCCACTTCATTAGTACAGTTTGGCTATTTCCACTGTGAAACCAGAAAGAGCCATCTCACTGTTGGTGTGATATCATCTCACAGTCCCCTTTCAGCCCCTGCCCCAGCCAGCCTGGCTCAGGCTTAAATGGCAGATGTGAAGCAAGCAGGCTTTGTTATAGGAAAGAGGGAGCAAAAGAATTGTGTGAGTTTGTAGCTAAGAGAAAAACTTCATCACCAAAAATTGTTTTGTCCTCTATCTCCCAGAACTGCTAACAAGTAGACAAAAAAATGATTTTTATAGTCCACTTTAATTCATGAGCTCAAGACTAAGGTAGGGCTTTGAATGACAAATTCAGAAATAAGGATGCTACGATCCATGCTGTGAACTGACTTACCTCATGAATATTGCATTAAAATATGTTTGTGAGGGTTTCAATGACCATGACTTTTGCTCAGCATTGTCCTGTGTTTGTTGCCTCAAATTAGTCCTTGAGACAAGGATTCTTAGGCAAGTTACTTATGGAGGAAATTCTCCAAGAAAAGAGGGAGTACAGTAAGCAGACAGGTCTGAGGAAGAATATTCCACAAGCATGTGGTCTGGGATAAAGACCAATAGCTCCATCTGTGGCATAAATAAGCCACCAGCTTTAGCCCAATCCCATGAAGAGCTGCAAAAAATGAATTGCACCATAGAACTGGGCCCCCATGAGGGAAAGAGGAAGGATCTCTGTGGGTCTACATTAAACAGTCACTGGCTGCTGATTGTCAGCATATGAAGAAGCAATACACATTTAGACCTGGGCAACTAGAGGGGCAGCCCACCTGCTGAAGCGCTCTGCACAAGGCACCCTCTTCATGGTAATATGTTGTACTAGGCCCTATGGGAGGGAGAAGGAGGAGCTGCTCCAGAGGGCTTTGTGGTTCAGATAAGAGAACCTGAACCTGATTCAGGTTGGATAAAATATGTAAGATCTTTGAGGTGTAAGTAGGAAAAGCTTCAAAGTTTCTACCTGGTCAGTCCTTGCAAGGTCATTCCAGGGCCTTCATTGTTGACTTCCCACTGTTGACATTCCCAAAAAGTACCTCTCCACCTCTGCTCCCCAGCACAGAACCTCAGCCACATGACCGTGTTGGAGGTCTACAAGACTATCCTTACACTTGGTGATTCTCTACAAGGACTCATAGGACTCGGCAAAGTTTGAATACTTACTAAAGCTAGAATACTCACTCATAGGACTCAGCAAAACTAGAATACTTCTGTTTATTCCAGTGAACAGGTACAGATAAGAATCTGCAAAGGGAATGGGCACATAGTGACATCCAGGAGAAGACCAGCTGCAAGCTTCCAAGTGTCCCCTCTCAGGGGGAAGTCAC